TTTTTGCGAGGTCACGCCTTTTAACCGCTCAGCAGTATCATCAAATCGTTAATTAATTTCACTTATATTCTGAGCATTTTCTGAAAAAATCAAGCTCAGAACATCCTAGCGATTTAAAACAAACAACTATTTGACGATTTTCATAGAAGAAGACCACATTAATAAACACAACCGATAGAAGCTTGCACTAATGTTGCCTTAATTTGCCGAAAACGTTAATCAAGTTCAACAATTTTGTATTCGTGCAAAAAACGCAATTTAACAAACAAATAAATATTTTTTTGCTGACTGTCTTCGACAGAAAAATCAGGATTAATAACACCAGCAGCCAAGAGCTTCGAGTTCTTCTAAAGGCCAGCATCAGAGTAGTTTACAAATCCTAATAAAAATACAAAAACCCAGCCTGACAGAGAATGCAAAATTAAACTTTAAAGCGAATCAGGAACAATCAATGCGAACATAATTTGGAAATACGAACGGCACACAAAATCGCCATAAACCTCCATTCAACTCAAAAAGTATTAAAAGTTCCGTATTGAAATAGAGACAATAAATGACTGAAACCCAGGAATTAATTTTGATTTGGAATTGAAACACAGTCAGGAAAGTATATACAATTTCCGAAAATATCAGAAAAGTTTTTTCGCCGTTTGCAAATTGCTGATTCTTTTTCGGCATTAATGGGGTTAGTTCGAAGATGATTTCCAATATTTAGATTTTTCTTCTGAATTTGCTGTAAATGGTACAAATCTTTATGTTTATGAGTACGTTCGTTATGATCCTTTCATGGGAGCCTAGAGATATTGAAAAATTATCGTCGCTTCGTGTTCCGTACTTGAATGGAATGTTGGTATTTTGCCTTACAAGTTTTTCCTTCATAGGATCGATACTGAACTTCACAATCAACACCAACAACAAAAATAAAATCTTCATACTGGCAATTTAGGAAAAATATAATTCTGAAAGAGTTTTACGTTGTACAAGATCGCAAACTGAAATAGTCCTCGGTAATAAAAACCTCGCCATCCGCACGACGGCAAAGACTTTATGCGCCACTCAACCCATATAAAGCAGGGTTTGGATGGTCCTTCGGGACACATAGCGATAACGGGGGCCAAAAGGGGTCACCAGCTTCCCCCTCAACATATTGGTGCGCTTCTCGCCCCTGTTTAAACTGTTTACGACCCAGCTAATTGTTCAGAACTGAGCCGTTGCGATTTTACTGCTTCTTCGCGGTTTTTGCGAGTGAGAACAGCTTTTGCTAGTAAAAGTTTATTTCATCGGCAATAAGGTGCGTATGGCATACATAGAAGCTTCTCTCGTTTCGTCATTCTTTGTGATTATTGTCCAAAAGGTTGTCAATGTTGCTACTAACACTATTCACTGCTTCCTCCTGAGGAAAAATTAATTTGTGTCGTCGAATCTCTCCCTGATTTACGCTGTTTAGCTCCAAAATTGCCTCTTTTGGTCGGCTATCTTGGTCCCAATGCAAAACCAGTGGAACGGTATCGTCGGAAGTTACATCGCTGATGGTTAAAGTTGCCTGTTGAGCCGAAAATTGTTTATTTTCGGTAATTGAAAATTCGATTTCATCGTCGAAAATGCAGGCAGCCAGCAAAAATCCTTGTGGAAATCGTTCGAGGTAGAACTTCAAAATTCGTGGTACTACAGGGGTGCCTAAAAGATTATGTGATTATTTATAGTTTCTTAACAACTACTGCTAATAAAATTTACATTATCAGATACCACGTGAAAAATGGTTGGTTTTGCAATGTTTCCGGAAAGAGTTAGAGAAGTGATATTGACATACGGTTCTGGTCAGGAATTTTGCCATAAAAATCCTGGCTCAGACAGACAGAAAGAGTTTCCATTTCAAAGTATCCAATTTGGATACTTTTACAATTTCCAATTAAGTAAATAAAACGGTAAATAATAATTGAAATAATTACCGTAGAACCTTCTGACCAGACTTAAAGTACCCTCTGCACAGCAATTTTCAGCAAGCCGCTCAGTGCTCTCCATTAAAAATGTATTTTTTGATGGGACATGCACTGTAAATGTTTTCGGACAGTAGAAACTAAACCCTTTTCTGCATATACAAGGTTTCCTAAAGTTTTGCGGCAGCTCCACATTAATATCCATTATTAAGTTATTTCCCAATTTAGATGTCACCGTGATCAGCACGCAGAAGTCGCCGATTTCGTCGTTGCAGAAGTACAAGTACAACTTTATTTCTCCTTGGGACAGGAAGTGCGTGCTCATCATTAAGGAAGTCTCACCTGAAATATGTTAATAATCTCTAATCTACTCTTGCACCTAATGTAGTATATTCAAATTTTGGTTTTTGAGACAAAACTATTAGAATTTCCCCGCTTATGTTGTCATGACTGAATGGAGTTTTCAATTCTCTATCCAACGATGTCAAAACGAATTATGTGGCTCAAATGGCGCTTGAGAAATTTCAGAAAAAGCAGCGTCATGTTTGAGTAATTTTACAACTCAAAAACAAAACACGCACATTTCAAACTTCTTGAAATCAAGACTTTTTTGATAAAACTGCTACCGTTTCCGCCCTGATGGTTCACTTTCTAAACAGGCTATTTATTTCTCTCTGGAATGATGTAAAAATGAACGTTCTTCCTCATTTGGCCTCCGAGAAATGAGCAAAAACGGGACGGAAAACGTGAAACTTTGGCATAATCTTGCACCTAAGTGTCTCATATTTAAATTTTGCTTTCTGGGTCAAAACTACTCGAATTTGCTCACTCATGTTGTTATGGCTGAATGGAATTTTTAATTATCTATCCAACGATGCCAAAACGAATTCTGCGGCTCGAATGGTTCTTGAGAAATCTCAAAAAAAGCAGCGTCATGTTTGAGTCAATTTTGCAACTCCACAAACAAACGCGCAAATCCAAAAATTCTTGAAATCGAAACTTTTTTGAGGAAACTGACAACATTTCCGTATCGATGGTTCACTTTCTGAAAAGACCATTTAGTTCTCTCTGGAATGATGTAAAAATGAGCGTTCCTGCTCATTTTCCTTGCGAGAAATGAGCAAAAACGGGACGGAAAACATGAAATTTTGGCATAATCTTGCACCTAAGTGTCTGATATTCAAATTTCGCTTTCTGTGTCAAAA